TACCGGCTATAACTGTTTGAATACAATTTTGTAGCAAAACGCAAGAATGAGTATGTCAAGAAAAGCATCACGAGATCAACAGTTCAACTCTTACCGCCCAAATTTTATTCAAATAAAATGGAAAGTAGAGAATTAAGATTTAATTCATTGTTAGTGAAATTGATTAGTTGGGTAAAAATCTTTTTAGGAACGAAGAGAGGCAAATTTATAATGGAAGAGCTGGGACTTGATGGACGCATACATGAAGTAAGTGGAAGCCTTTAAAACTGGTGGAAGAGTATCAAAAGTAGATCCTTTGAAGCGCAAACAATGCAAAGGTTAGTTTTTCTTCTTTACCTTTTTTTTTTTACTTTGAATAAACTAACGAATCACAAACTGAATGTTTATCCTTCTCAACTATTGGTCAGAACCAGTGAAGAGTGCAATTCTCAAGAACAACATGATAAACAGAAGTGGAAATTTTCTTCTCTCAAATACAAATCTCTTGTGTAAAGACTCTTATCTCGTCCATTCCTCCGGCTGTGATATGGCCAAAGCCAAGATTTTCTAGACAGTTCAATGCCATTTGATTGCAGAGGCTTTAACTTCAATGACATATCATAGACGAGGGAAGGCTTCAGCACCACACTGTAGAATATGTCCTAATCACAATTTTCTTATGGTTGTTGATGGATCTTGTACTTACAAGGTTGGTGATACTCGGCTTCATATGATTGTTGTGATTCCTTTCCCATCCTCTCGCATGACATCTTATCGTATTGTGATAGTTAGTTCTCCAACTCATCCTTTTGTGAGTCTTCTTATTTTATCATACTACTTATCCAGTTTAAGATGCTAATGCCCTGTGGTTGATCTCAGATATTTTTGTTTGCCTTTTCTTGGCTTCTTGATCAGTTTCCAAAATGATATCCCGTTAACAGGAAGACTTGGCTTGACATGCTCCTCTCCATATTTTAAGGTTGGTCTTTCTAAGTTTATGCTCCTCTCCATATTTTCTGCAATATATTTCTTTCCACACAATCTTTTATAATCATTTATATGCCTCGTTGCAGGATGAGTTTAGCAGGAGAAATATGGGAACGACTTTTTTCGATAAAAGCTTGAGTGACACTTAAACAGCGCATGCTTCTATATATGGTTTCCAGTAACTTTGTTCGACCATCTGATACTTTTTTGTTTGAGCGTCAGACATGTGGTAGAGCTTCAATAAGCCGGGACAGAACAGAAGATACTACTTCTTAAAAAGACAGGGAAATCATTCATCCCTTATTTTTGATTTACCAGAATTTGTTTCGTTAGTCATTTAACAGCCATGCGAGCAGATGGAGGAAATGGAACAAAAGTTATTTTCCTTGAAGTCGACAGAGGGAGAGGGTGTTAAAGAGGTGAGTGGGAGATACTAAATAAGGGATCGTAGTTGTAATTTTGTTGATACTAAATTTCCGCTACTCTCGCTTCTTTGGAAAGTTCAAGGATGCATCCTCCGATAAGTAAATGTCTAATTACCATGACGAAAAGGTACAATTTTGTGCTTCTTTCTCGCCGAAAGTTACCCATCCAATTTTTCTTTTTTTTCCAAGATCATTTGTTCATTGGGAATTTTGGTTTTTAGTTGTACCAAGGAAGCTACTAAGTTGATCACAAAGCTTTTGGAAAGATAAGTAATTTCGTCACCATAAGAAATAAAACAGAATTTAGTAAAGTTTGAGATACTGATTATTAATCTTTCTTTCAGGTTTCTTATACTAAGTTGATCACAAAGCTTTCAGAAATCATTCAGGCGGTGGACATGTCATGGACCTATCAGATTCGAACCAAACTTTGTCAAGTCAGTTTTTGTCTTTCTTTTAGTTATTCAAGGTATGTTCTCATCAATCCTCTTCTTCTTCTTATTCTTGGTCTTTTGAGTTTGTTTCTACTGTTTTATGTTGTGTCTCTTTTCTTTTGCAACAACAGATTTTATAGTCTTAGGTGACATATCTCAGAGACCAGAGAATGGTAGATTGGTTTACTTACTTCCATGTTTCCTTTTAATATTTCTGGTCTGTTGTTTCTTGCAACAGTCTGACTATGTCTTTGTCATCAGACTTCACTGAATAGGTTTTGACTTGATTGCAACGGTTTTATCATCACACCAGATAGCTACTTTAATCAGTTTGTCACACATCATATGGTTCAACTGCTACGACAGAAATCTGGTCAACATTGAGAATCAAAAGTTGACTCTCGGTAAAGACAATGAGAAAAGCTATGCTAGAAATGTTCTTTTCAGTCATGTTCCACCGTGTCTAATGAGGTATATCCCTGTCTTTATCCAACCTTAGTCAATCTGTTTACCTTTTTCTAGATGCTAGCCTAGGAAATAGATTGATTGTGTTTAGGGTTGTTGCAGTGAAATTTAATGCATAGAAATTGTTGGCTGAAATCTGAACTGACTGGATTCTTGTTTTCTTTGGAAGCGAAAGAATCACCTGTAAACAAGAGGAGAGCTTCTTTATGAGCAGAAAACATGAGTATTTCTGTGGTAAGTCAAGTAAAATTTAATTATTATAGTCTTTTTTTTACTGTTATTTGAAATCGTGAAGCTAAGCTATATATGCTTATGAACGGTGATGAGTACATGTTGTCAAGAAGACTAGAGAAGAGTGGAAGAACTAGTTCACTGAACAAAAGGCTCCTTACGAAAAGGTGTGATCCCATACCAATGATTTAAACAAATGAAAAGTTAAAAGATATGTTCTAACTTGTGTGCATATTCTTGATTTGTTCAGTTGTACCAAAGAAGCTACTAAGTTGATCACAATGCTTTTAGAAATCATTCACGCTGTGGACAGGACATGGACCTGTCATATTTGAGCCAAACTTTCTCAGGTCGTTTTTTGTCTTTCTTTTATTTATTTAAGGTATGTTCTCATCAATCCTCTTCTTCTTCTTCTTGGTCTTTTGAGTTTGTTTCTACTGTTTGATGTTGTGTCTCTTTTCTTTTGCAGCAACAGATTTCATAGTCTCTTATGTGACATATCTCAGACACTAGAGAATGGTATATAGGTTTGCATACTTGATTATACAATTCAATCTCACTTCCATGTTTCCTTCTTTACCTACTTCCTTTCTTCATTCTTTCTCTCTTGTTTTGTTTACTTATATGATACCTTGCTAACTTCCTTCTTACTTTCTTTCTTGCGTTCTTAGTTTTTTTAGTCTTGGCTTAGTTGCGAGCTTCCTTAATTACATGCCTCTAAATTTTCTGTTAATTTATTTCCCTTCTTCTTTGGTTACATGCATTTGTTTGTTTCCTTCATTGGTTATCTGCTTTCTTTTTCTTCCTTGATTTCTTGTTCCTTGGTGAGTTGTGTGCTTTATTACTTGTTCCTTGATTTGTAATATACTTGCTTCCTTTTGTATTTTTTTTTTTTTTTTATTTTGGTTCTGAATTGCTATCTTCCTTCATTACTTGCTTCTTGATATGTTGGTTACTTATTTTCGTTTTTTCCTTGTATACTTGCTTTCTTGTTTACTTGCTAACTTCCTTCTTACTTGCTTTCTTTCTTCCTTACTTTCTTACTTGCGTACTTAGTTTTTTTAGTCATGGCTTAGTTGCGTGCTTCCTTAATTACATACCTCTAAATTTTCTGTTAATTTATTTCTTTTTTCTTTGGTTACATGCATTTGTTTGTTTCCTTCATTGGTTATCTGCTCTCTTTTTCTTCCTTGATTTCTTCTTCCTTGGTAAATTGTGTGCTTTATTACTTGTTCCATGATTCGTAATATACTTGCTTCCTTTTGTTTTTTTTTTGTTTTTTAATTCGGTTCCTTGGTAAATTGTTTTTTAATATACTATCTTCCTTCATTATTTACTTATTTTCGTTTTTCCTTGGTTCCGTGTGTGTGTGTGTGCTTGCTTCATTCCTTGGTTCCATGTGTGTGTGTGTGTGCTTGCTTCATTCCTTGGTTCAATGTGTGTGTGTGTGTGTGCTTGCTTCATTCCTATGTTTGCTTTTCTTGTTCTCTTCCTTTATTCCTCGTTCCTAGCTGAGTTGTCTGCTTAGCTTCCTTGATTCCTTGATCTGTTGATTATCTTCTTACTTGTTTCCTTATTTTCTTTCTTGGTTCCTTGCTTAATTTTCTTACTTTCTTTATGGTTGTTTTCTAGTCTTCCCTTGATTTCAGTATTTGTGTGTAGATAGCGTGGTGTGTATAATTCCCATAAAAATTCTACTTTAGTCTGATTTATATTAACTAACTGCTATGGTTTCATGTTTGAGTTGGACATGTTATTAGGTATGAACCTTTAAGCGTGTGGACACAAAAGATCCCTGTAGGGACACCAATTTGTGTCAAAGAACACTTTTCAGCTAAGTATTTATCTAATCAAATCTGGTTTTGCTATATGTATGTTTTCTTATTCTCTTACTTGGGCTAGTGACCTCATATTGGACTATTTAATAGAGTTGAACCTAAGAAGTATTGAGCAATGTATGATCGCTTCTGTCTCTATATGCTTTTGTTACATTTTCTCTACATATCTGATAAATTCTATTGTATGTGGTGATAAGTGGTAGAGCTTAATAAGCCAAAACAGAACAGAGGAGATTTCTGGCTAAAAAGATAAGCAAATCATTCACTGCTCAGTTTGTTTCGCTTTATCCAGTTTAACCAGAAAATGCTTTCGTAAATCACCTAAATCCCTGTCATTTACTGTCATGTAGGCAGATAAAGGAAATAGAATTGCAGTTCTTAGCGTTGAGTTTAAGAGAGAGT